GCACTAGAAATGCATAGTAAGAGGCTGGAAACAGGTCTAGGTTACTGTGGCTCCGTCCACACATGTGAGGCTTCTGCTTTTACGTAAGCTGGGGCCTGATCCTCCCACCCCCCACCCCCGCCCCTGTATTCCTGCGTCCAGGATCCACCTAGCCATCCCCTGGGGGAAGACCCTGAGCTCAGCCTGGTGGGAGGACTGCCCTCTTCAGTGGGTCTCTAGGCTGTTCCTCGTACATTTCGCATGGTTTGCCTGCTATTCCTGGGCACGGGGGTGGGCTGTGGGGTGAGGGAAAAGAGGGGGTGCTGGATCTAAAGATAGATAGGAGGCCTGAAGGTGAGGGGAGGCACCGGAAGGAGGGTGAAAGAATGCTTAAAAATCGACCTGCCTTTGCGTTTCTCAGGCTTCCCGAGCTCCTAGAGCCCTGGGGTTGTCATGACAACTGAGATACATCCTCTCCATCCTTCCCCACACACAGAAACTGGTTGGTGTGAGTGGAGCCTTTTCTCTGACTGGCCAAGAGCTCTCTGACCCAGGCAGACTCAGCACTGGAGGGAATGAGCCTTGGTCCGGCTTCCCTTCCTAGTAACTGTTTCTCTGCCTGTGATGCGGGGTGACCCCTGCAGCCTGTGTGTTATGACAGCAATATTCTGAGCAGAGCCCTGCCCATGAGGAACCTCACAGCTGCTAGCTGCTGTTCCTGCCAGTAAATCCTTGTTCTCTCTTGTTGGACCGTGTATATAAAGTTGGTTTTCTAAGCCCACCTCGGAAGCCAGCCTTGGTCTTCCTCATCTCGGCAGCAGTGGCACTGGTGGGATTCCAGACAGCAAGGAGGTGTCCACAGGAGGCCGTGCTAATAGGGAAAGTGAGGAGGCCATGGGGACGTGACTTTCAAATGGTGGCATTAGCTGATGCAGATCGTGTGTGGTGTTCATTGACGGGACCAATTTGGGCTCCATGTGGGGCACAGGAAAATGGAAATCTCTGCCTCACATCTCACTCAGAAGTGAACCCCGGGTGTGCACAATGCTTGTGTATGAAGCACAAAGAGCTCGATTCTTTACTATGTGAAGCCTAGCTCCGAATTCAAACTGCCGGCCATGGCAGTGAACACTTTCTGTCTCAGCAATGGGGATGCTGAGGCAGGACTGCAGGTTGGAGACCAACGAGATCCTTGCCACAAAGCAGAGCCTGTTTAAGGCGAGGATACAGCGTGTGCCTACCTGAACAAAACCCTGGGCTCAAACACCAGCACACCATCAGACAGTCAACCCAACTACCACACACCAAGCCCTGGGTTCAGCCTCTCGTACCACATAAAACCAGGTGTAGGTGTTGCAGAGATGGTTCAGTGGCTAAGAGCACTTCCTGTTCTATCATGAGGACCAGAGTTCAGAGGCCTTCTGTCTCAGAGCATAGCGGTACACCTGTGTAAGCCAAGCAGTTGTAACACTGAGGTAGGAGGGTTATGAATTTGAGGCTAGCCTGAGCTACAGAATAAGAGCCCTTCCTCCTGCTTTCTCTTTCTCTCTCTCTCTCTCTCTCTCTCTCTCTCTCTCTCTCTCTCTCTCTCTCTCTCCCTCTCTCTCTCTCTCTCTCTCTCTCTCTCTCTCTCTCTCTCTCTCTCTTCCCCCCCCCCCTCACTCCCTCTGTGATTCCCTACTTGGCCCTCCTAGGGTCTGACTCCAATGTTCAAGCATCCATGATGAGTCTGGCCAGAGGAGAGAAGAGGCATGTTTTACTCGTGACACTGGATGGCTTCCTTTGTGGTCTGCATACCCGTCAGTGGTCTGACTGATTACCTATGTGTCCTGGGCACCCAGCATAGGCTCCAAAGATGCCTTTAGGGGGAGGGTCAGTGGCCTTATTGAAACACGTGCTGAGGAATCAAAGGGTTTGCATCTTTCAGTTGGCCTGGGTCTCCTGGTCATCCACTCTTCCTTTTTTCTTTCTAAGAGAGAGTCACCCATGTAACCCAGTGATCCTCCTGCCTCAGCGTTGTACATGTTTTGTGTGATAGGAATGCAAGTGTGCCACCAGCTTGCACAGCCCTACAATTGTTACTTCAATGTCCTGAGTCCGGCATCGCCTGCTGGCTGCCCCTCAGTCCCAAGGCTTTCCCTCGATCCCCACCCCACCCCCTTCCTGCAGCTAGCTCCTCACCAGCCCTACCTGTCAGATGACTGACCCTCCCTGGCTTCTGGTCTATCTTGGTTTCCTCTATCCAGGTCGGATTCAGGAGTCCTGGATCACAATTATCTGCCTCTCAGTTGCTTTGCTTGTTAAGATGCCACCTCCTCTCTGAGTGTCTGAGCCTATGGTGAGGGCCGCAGGTACAGCTATGCCCATACACAGGGCACCCATGCCGGAGGACATGTGGGTACAACCATGCAGAGGGACCAGCAAGTGATGTTGGGTACAGGAGAGCCCCTCACAGCTTGAGAGCATCCTATCCTGACACTGCAGACAGACCTCACAGGCATGAATTTAGACAGTGGAAACCCCCTTTGGAGGTTGCTGCCCCCTAGAGTACTCGCTCAGGGCCAGGTCCTGCGAGTCTTATTTAAAATTACCCTTTGCCGCGTGGGGTGGAGTCTTCGCTACCCAGAGCTCATCTCAATTGATTTTATTTTGGGGTTGGCACGGTATATTCTTTTTATGTATGTGTGACATACATATGTAAATATTCACATGGTGTTGGTGAATTAATGGTGGTTTTACTAAGTGAGGATGTGGGAACCAATCACAGCCCACAGGGATGTCAGGAAACTGAGCATCACCAGAGGAGCACTGTGAGCCCGGAAGGGTGAATGGAGCTGTGTTGTGAGTGCCAACATTACTGGACGACAAGCTCTGAACTACAGCTGTCAGAAGCTGCACCTGCGCAGAGTGAGTCCCGTATCCTAGCTGCCTTCTGTGGGCCTTGGGGGTAGGCACTCTCCCTTGCTCCCCAGGACACCTCAACTCAGCAGCTGCTCTGTCGGGGCTGTGTTCTGCCCTGGGACACTGCAGACCCTCTGTGGGAGCTGGGGAACCTTGCAGAGAATTTGGGACAGTTTCCAAGGTTGCACAGATTCTTGGGGAGGTCATTCCAGAGCGCCACGAGTTGGGATCATAGAACAAGATAGAAGGGGACCCTAGCTAGGGGACATAGGCTGTCCTCCAAGGTCCCTAGGCAGTTTCTGCAGAAGAGTCCTGAAGCCAGCAGCTGTCCTGATCCATTGTCAGTAATAAATCAGGTGTTGGTTATTATATTGTACTATATTATATTAGTGGGTCCTTCTCAGTTGCAATGACAATTACCAGATACCCAAGGAATATTCTAGAAGGTGTAGTTTTCTTCTGTTCCATGAGACATGAGGTCATGGTTCTGTTGAGAAACAATTGTTTTTTCCCACTTCTAGGAACCAAAGTGCTTCAATCAAAGGGATAGAATTTTATTAACACTACATTTTAGCATGGTGGGTTTTCTTGGCCTTGCACAGGCTCCTTGGTATATGACAGAGAGCAGGACGCCGTAATGCCTTGGGAGTCACATTAGAGGAGAACCTATGGGCAGGATTAGCATCCAGGTTGCCTGCTTCCCTTGGACACGTATTCATGGCTTAGCCTTCCACGTCTGTATCTGGGTGGCACATTTTCTCCTAACACAATCATTTGAAAAATGAAGCATCAAGCTGCAAACGTTTTGAGTGTCTCAGGAGTTAGATTGGAGGCTCCAAGGCACAGGTGCGGTGTGTAAGACATGGGAGCCCGGCTGCTAAACAGATATTGTCCCCCAGAGCTGCGTGAGGAAACGCTGTCTTCCATGCATTTGTTCTGGGCGCCCATCTCTGGGAGATGAGATTATTGGGGTGGGGCCATCAAGAACAGCATTAGGACAAAGCATGAGGATACCTTCTCTTTTTCCAAGGACACAGCCAGAAGGTGCCGTCTGTGTGGGTCTTCCCCTGTAGCATCCTAACTTTGGACATACAGCCCCAGAACTGGCAGAAAGTTAACTCTGATTGAAAGCCGCTGTCTCATATTGCTTGCTCTGGCAGTTACCTGGACCATAGGCAGGATACCTGTGAGGAGAATGCCACCTTTATCTCAGGGACTGGGGACCACTGTGTCCAGTGTTGGGGAGGTGGTCTGGGCCTGCTCCAGTCCTAGAGTCAGATGCAGGAGGAAGGAGGAGCTGACGAGGAGCTCCCCATTCTGCCTTGGAATTCCAGCCTCTGCTCTTACAAGGACAGGGTGGCCCTGTGGGACTCAGCAGAACATAGCAGAGCTGGAGGAGTAGATACAGGTCCTGGTCCTCCACCCCCAGTGTCCTGTGTCCTCTTTGCCACAACAGGAACTTCCCCACCCCTGGACCCTGGAGCAGGAGGGAACAGTTCATGTCGCATGGACTCACTCTTCCACCCTGAGACAGGGGCTGCCCAGCTTAGCTTTCCACAGTGTGGCGTGTTCGTTGATAAAAATATGTGCTTAAGAATGTGTCCTGCCCCTTCCAGTGGACCGGAGTTCTATTCCCAGCACCCATGTCTAGCAGTTCACAGCCACCTGCAGCCCCAGGGATCTGACACCCTGTTCTGTCCTCCAGGGGCCCTCCCAACATGCAGCATACACTCACACACACATATACACACATGTAAAAAAAACAGGATGTAGGGGTAGCTGGATGGTGAGAGCACTGGCTGCCCTTTGCAGAGGAGCCAGGTTCAATTCCCAGCAACCACGATTCACAGGTGCCTGCAAGTCCAGCCCTAGAGGATCCAGTGCCCTCTTCTGGCCTCTGTTGGCACTACATGCACAACACACACACACACAGAGGCACCCATATACATAAAATAAAAAATGAAAAGGAAACCACCCTACGAAGGGTTGGTTGGTGCCAGCCATGTTTGTTGAGTGACTTAATGAACAGGATCCAAGGGTAGACGCCTCGGATCACTGCACAGGGTCCCTTCTGTGCCGCTGCCGCTCGATGCTCACCTTTTGCCTCCTGTCTCCCCCAGGACCTCCCACTCCCGGGCCAAGGCTGAGGCAGCACTCACGGCCGCTCAAAAAGCCCAGGAGGAAGCGCGGATCGCCAGGATCACTGCCAAAGAGTTCTCGCCTTCCTTCCAGCACAGGGAAAACGGTGAGTTTGGTGAGTTCTGCCTGAGCCGGTGGCTCTGAGGGGCAAGGCCTGGGCAGTGGCTCCTGGTGCCACCGGGGGGGGGGGGGGCTGATTGTGATGTCCCTTGCTGAAGCCGATTCAGCAAACACGCGAGTGTGCATGGATGTCAGTGTCTTGACTCCAAGCCCCCAGCAGCGTGGACACTGCTGCTCCTCTTCTGGGTCCCTGGTGCGATTCTATAGCCATCTGCAGTGGTGGCTTTGTGCCCACTGTATGTAGCAAGGGTGGCTGGAGGGCTGAATCTAGTCTCATTCAGCAACTGTTGCTTGTTTCTAGTACAAGGTTTTATTCTGTAGCCCAGGCTGGCCCATCGCAATCTTCCTGCCTCCTCCTCCTCCGGGCTGAGTTTTATCTCATCTCCATGTGCACTTGATGAAATGAAGACATTGACTTACGGCCGGTGGCTTCCAGGTTAGAGAATCTTGAGTAGGAGCTTCCTTTGGAAGTCACTGCCCCTTCGGTTTGGGAGCTGTGTGAACACTACATGGAGGCGCAGCGCCTCCGGGGTGGGAGTCAGCTGCCCCCAGGGCTTGTGTTGTGCGCACCCATCCCCAGAACACCCAGCTCTAGGGTACATCTCTCCACTTCACTGGGAAGCATTCTGGTCCCACTGAGCCTGAAGGCCACATTGAGGTCACGGTCCCTCCTGTCTGCTCCCAGCTCCTGTATACTAAGGGTCGGAATAGATGAGGGAGGCTGTGGACTCGGGTGTGCCATGCCCATCTGTGTTCTCACACAGTCATGAAGAGGCCTTTGGGTCCAGGCTGAGGGTCAAAGCTCACGTAGAGGTACCGGGCCTAGCTAGGTCAAATGAGTCTTGCTGTCCGCTCTGTCTGAGGCTCTGCCCAGGATCCACTCTGGTACCCAGCTGTGACCACCACCTCCTCTTTCAGGTGTTTCTGATGTAGAGGGGGAGGTAGCCATCAACGCTCTGCACAGTCTTCTCACCCAGCTGCTCCTAGCTTCAAGAGAAAGTCAGAAAAAGCCACGGTCCCCAGTGGAGGACCTGCCACCTGAGACTGAGGTGGCTCTTGTCTAAGTCGGCGGGCCACAAGCCCACATTCAGACTGCTAGGCACCTGACTGACCCCCACGCCAGGTGGTCCACGTGTAGAATATGTAGATGGACAAGCGTGCCAATAATTCCCATGGGTCCCCAGCCCCGGCCCTGAATGCTGCTGATTCCTTCCTGGGGTCCTACTGTACTGCTCCAAGGAGCTTTGGTTGGCGGGAGGGCAGTACTGTCTGGGGTGCTTGTGTGTACAGGGGATTTGTCCACTGGATGCTCTGAGAAGCCTGGGCAAAGCCCACTGAAGTCAGCCTTGGCCCCAGCTGGACAAGATGTCTCTTTACGCTCGTATATGGGGGCCTCGGAGCACTCAGCTGGCAGGTCCAGGGTGCTGCTTCTGTAGGGAGGCCTCAGCTGAGATTGTCTGACTCTCTGTTCAGCCTCCTTGAGAAACATCTATGAGGGAGGCCTCAACTCGCAGTACCTCAGCTGCCCCTTACTGGGATGGGACCAGACCGTGGGACTTGGCCGATGCAGGACCCTTTCCTGGCTGTTGCTCGCTGTGGTCTCTGGCCACGCCTGCTGCCTGGGAGGCTGCCGTGGCCTTACCTCTCCGGGCTTGTGTGACTGTCTGGCGCCCCTTAAATCCCTTCTGGGAGCCACTTGTCCACATCAGGGCATTTCCTAGAATACATTATCGGCCAGTGGGGTCCATGCTAGAAGGGACTGGTGCTGAGTCCCCTTCCCTGGTTCTCAAGGCTAGCAGCTCTTGTCTTCTCTTACAAAGATAAAGCTTCTGACTGCCTGAGGTCTTGTGAAGACAGTGGCAGAACTGACATTTCCAAGGGGTCTTGTTTCACAAGCTATGGCTGCCTTTAGTTCTAAAAACATTACCAAAGTGCTTCGGGGCAGAAGGATACCTTCCTTTGGGCTGGCTGCTTGGGGAAGACCCTGCTAACCAGTCCCTCTGAGACTGCCTGAGGCCACTGAGATGGAAGGGGGTACAAGATGGATCAGAGCAGAATCCACGATACCCATCCCTAAAGCCTATCCATGTACCTAGGACACAGGCTGGAGAGAAGTACCAGGATTATGTCGCAGCTGCCGCAGGTTCCTTCTTGGTTTTTGTAATGGTCTTCCAGGGACAGCACATGCTTTGCAGCTAATTTTAACTGAAAATGACCTCTGTGGCGCTGGCAGCCAGGCATGAGCTTCCCTCTAAGGTGCTGGTCTAATGGGCAGGCGGCCTCACCCTTGTGAGGAAGGCCACAGGGCCACCTGCAGGTTCCTGCCCTGACTTTCCAGGTACCTGACGTCCATCCAGCCAAGGGACTCTGGTGACAAGAAGTGCCCAGGCTCTAAGGTCCTGCCAGGTGTCCTTGCTGGGTGACCCAATCCACACTGGCACAAAGCCTCTCTGCGATGGGCTCTGTGTAACCCCATGTACTTTTGTCTCCCACCCAAGGGCTTGAGTACCAGAGGCCAAAGCACCAGATGTCCTGCGATGACATCGAGGTGCTCTCCACCGGGACACCCCTGCAGCAGGAGAGCCCTGAGCTGTACCGCAAGGGCACTACCCCTTCTGATCTGACCCCAGACGACAGCCCCCTGCAAAGCTTTCCCGCCAGCCCCACGGCCACCCCTCCGCCAGCTCCTGCCTCCAGGAACAAGATGGCCCACTTCTCCAGGCAGGTCTCCGTAGATGAGGAGCGAAGCGGGGACATCCAGATGCTTCTTGAGGGCCGCGGAGGGGACTATGCCCGCAACAGCTGGGGCGAGGAGAAGGCTGGGGCCTCTAGGGGTGTCCGCAGTGGTGTGCTGCGCAGCGGCCAGCCCACTGAGGACTTCCGCACCCGGGGCTCGGGCCACAAGCAGCCTGGGAACCCCAAGCCCCGGGAGCGGCGGACGGAGTCCCCCACCACGTTCTCGTGGACTTCTCACCACCGGGCAGGCAATCCCTGTTCTGGGGGCCCCAAACTGTCAGAGCCAGACGAGGAGCAGCTGAGCAACTACAAGCTGGAGATGAAGCCCTTGCTAAGGATGGACGCCTGTCCACAGGACACGCACTCCCAGAGACGGCGTCACAGTCGGGGTGCCGGGGGAGACCGGCGCTCCGAGGACCGGGGCTTTGGGCTGCAGAGACTGAGGTCCAAGTCCCAAAATAAGGAGAACCTCAGGCCAGCCTCCTCTGCAGAGCCCACGGTGCAGAAACTAGAGAGCCTGCGGCTGGGGGACCGGCCCGAGCCCCGTCTGCTGCGTTGGGACTTGACCTTCTCCCCACCCCAGAAGTCCCTGCCTGTTGCACTGGAGTCTGATGAGGAGACAGGGGACGAGCTCAAGTCCAGTACGGTAAGTGCTGCCCACCTTCTCAGGACAGAGGCAGTGGGCCACCTCCTGGTCACTCTGCTTTGTGTGCATGTCCTGTCCAGGGATTGGAGTGCAGCTAGTGTGGGCATCTACAGGTAGCAGAGATACTCTGTCATAGGGGTCCCATTTGCTTTCGTCTACTTTGAGAAGGCTCCTCCTGGGATCGACCCTTTAGAAGCAGTGTGGACGCTGGAAAGCTCCTGAAGAGGAACCGGTCTGCCTGGGATGGCATCCTGCCCCTGACTTGTTCAGACCTGCTGCTGTCAGTGGCATGTTCTCTGGACCTGGGCTAGAATAGGATGCTCTGTCCAGACATCTTTTCTTCCCTGAGCATATTCCATGTGTGCCAGATGCCAAAACTGGTTAGGGTCCAGCTCCTAAGATGATTTACACGTGGGACAGTGGGATGGAACCTTGCAGGCCTGCCCTGAAGCCAGGCCCTCAGATCCCCCCTTCTGTAGGCCTGAATTTACCCAAGCAGTAGGAGGTTGTTAGGAAGCCATAATGTTGAGGTTCCTGGGCCCCATGACCTTTGGAGGTTTATCCATATCCCATGAGTTATATATAGGTCAGACTCCCAAATGAGTTCCCTTCATTGGACCCCAAGAACAACTCTTTGCCTGGCCAAACACCCCCTTATTTCCCTGCCCTAGGATGGGCCTTTTGAAGGAAAACAGCAGCCTCCCCTGGGCCAGAGAGGATGGGACATTTAAGGGGCCTCCTGGGATTGCTAAGCCCACCACTGGCTCCACGACAGAAGGCATGGGAGGGATGATGGCGACACAGAAGCCTGGTGCCCTGTGTACCAGCAGCCTCAGCAGACAGGGCCCCATTTACCTGCTGTGACACAAATGACCACCCTCCGGTGCCTGGGCTTTATGTGACAAACTGGGTTTCTGAGTATCTGGCTGTGTGTGCAGAGGCTGCAAAGGCGCTCCCCACAGGAGTGCTCTGTGGGATGTATATGTATGGGTCCACACAGAGACCCATAGGGACCCTCTGCAGGGTTCGTGTTGCTGCTGCAGCAGGAGCCGCTGTCCCTCTCAAGGGACCTGGGATGCTGTGGTTTCATCTGACAGCCCCAGCAGTCACTTGCCCCATGTGAGGTGTTTTCTGTGGCCCTCGATTCTCCTTGAAGTCACCGATTAACTGTCTTTCTCACCGCTGCGATTCTAAGATTCTCCTCTGCTCTGGTTGCTGCTGGGACCACAGCACTAGCTTGGGCCTCACCCTGCCGGCATACAGCCGTCTGAGCAGTTGTGCGCATGCGGAATGTGTGGCTATTTCAGGAGCATCACAGCAGTGGGCAGGGGGTGGGAGGTTCAGGAGTAGTTCTATATTTAGCCCACATCACTGTGTCGGCTTTTTTGGGTGTTTTAAGATGGAGTCTCTGGCTGGGAACATATCTCAATGGTAGAGTGCATTCGCCCAGTGTATATACGGCCTAAGTTCAGGCCCCAGCACCACTGAACAGGAAAAGCGAAGTTTTAGCCACACCCGTAACCACAGCACTCGAACTTGCTACGGAGGAGCACCAGCCTGGCCTACATAATACGGCTGTCTTTAGAGGGAGCCCAGCATGGGAGATGCTGCGTGAGCCTAAGGGCATGAGTCTGATCCCTGGAACGATGTTTTTTAAAACATCAGCCACAGTGGCACATGCTTTGTAACCCCAGCACTGGAGACAATAGAGACAGGCAGATCCTCTGAGGCCAGCCAGGCTAGCCCACTTGGTGATCTCCAGGCCAGGGAGTGCCTATGTCCAAGTAGAATGAGGTGGGAGGCTCCTGAAGAAACCTGGGATTGTCCTCTGACTTCCATATGCATGTGAATACATGTTCACCCATGCATACACACATGTATACATGTTCATGCATACATGCACACATGCGAACATCCACACAATGCACATATACATGCACAACCAAAATAAGTACCCAGAGTTCCCTAGATATGCAAAACATAGGGACTCGCCACAGGCTGGCCTTAAGTGGGGTGGGACAGCCAGAGGCTTACAGTGCAGGGGCTTCCAGCTGGGGTGAGTGACCTGGGACATTCTCTCACTGCCCCAGGCCACCCGCACTCCCAGGGTAGAAATTGAAGAAAGAACTCCAGCCCCACTCTGTGGTCCCAACATCCTGAGCAAGTGGGCAGGGTCTCTGTAGGTGCCACGCTGTCCTATGGGCCTGAAGGGAGGTCAGGCAAGGCAGATGGAAGGTGGACGTGTCAGTGGTGACCGTGAGTGGCCTCTGGGAGGTTGGCTGTCAGGCATCTCAAGACCTAGATGTCCCCTCCCAGTGCAAGGCTCTATACAGTATGGCACATCCTGTGTTCTGGTCTGGGAAGGTGTCTTCTGATTGGTGGCATCACCACTTCCTTCAAGTTGTCTGGCAGTGGCGAATGGGTAGTAGAGACCCAGGGCTCTGACTCATAAAGTTCCTGGCCTTGGTGAACTCTGTGGTCCTCTCTACACCTTCCAAGACCATAGAAGCCTCACGCTCCTCTGAAGTGATGGGCAGAATACGAGTCTCCTGATCTAGACTTAATTCCTGGGAGCAGCTACAGACGACTCCCAGTGGTCAAGTCACTTTGTTGATGAGTATGGCCTGGCCCCAAAGCTATCCTTCACCTCTGCCCTGTGACACACCTATGGGCCTGGGGCTCGACTAAACATCCCAGAAGGATGTGGAGCAGTGGGCTGGCATCGGGGCAGGACCTACCCTTGGCCGACTCTAATGTTAAGGCCTTTCCCACTTCCTTGCAAGGCTGGCTCAGCCAAGATGTCATGTAAGTCCTTGTCATAAAAACACTAGCGTTCAAAGGTGACTCTACCCTAGTAAAAACAAGGCCCTGCAGGCCAGGCAAGCCTTCTTGTCCCCTCCTGCCACGCAGCGCCTGGGTCTCTCCATCCAGTCTTCAGCAAGGTGGTAACAGGACAATGGGCTGGGTTGCTGGGCACTGAACTCAGGCAGGACTGACTATTGTTACATGATTAATAAAAACCCAGAGACAGAAATTGGGGTTCAACCTGAAAGCCAAAAAAGTAAAACAGCCAGTCACTGGCTCTTACCTTGACCTCAGTCCGAAATGGCAATCCTGCCTCCAGGAATCTCAGAATGAGACTGTGAGAGCTGTCTCCTCCCGTTTTATAATCCTCTCTTGTTCTAGGATTAAGAACATGCACCACTACCACCTGGTTTCTATGGCAAGCTACTGGGGCTACAGGGATTAAAGGTGTGTGTCACTGTGGCCTGGTCTGTAAGCCTGGCCAGTATGGCTACTTTACTCTCTGATTCTCGAGCAAGCTTTATTTATTAAAATACAAATGAAATGCCACTACCAAATACTTGGATTTTTTTTTTTTTTTGAGACAGTTTCTCTGTCTAGCTTTGGAGCCTGTCCTGGAATTCACACTGTGGACCATGCTGGCCTAGAACTCAGAGATCCGCCTACCTCTGCCTCTGTGCTGGGGTTAAAGGCGTGCATTACCTTTGCCTGGCTCCCCAGGGAAAAATTTAAAAGCCCTTGCTTTTTGCTTTTTTTTTTTTTTTTTTTTTTTTTTGAGGTAGTTCAGTAGTAAAGCACTTGTCTAATGTAATCATTAGCATCACCAAGTCAAACATATGTATTTAAGAAACCTTCTACTTGGCCAGCCATATGGCATACACCAATAACCCCAGCATTCAAAAGGCTGAGCCAGGAGACTCAAGATTGAGTTCACTCTAACTGTCCAGCAAAAAATAAGGTGGAAAGCGCCCTGAAGCCTACCGTCTAGTTGAGCAAACTCCTTGGTCTATTATAAGCCAATGTCTCTGGCAGGCAAGGAGCATACCCCTTTCGTGTGGAGTCTCGTGGGTCTGGGATGTGAGCTAGAAGGTGCATGTGTGGTCAGCAGGCTGGGTACCTACCGGCCTGCTCAAGAGGATGAACTGCAGAGCTGGAGGGTGGGGCCAGCTGTGCTGGCCTCGCACAAGCAGGCCTGGCTGAGACTTCTGTAGTGCTGGCTAATGCGCTTCTCTCTCAACTGCTGACTGTCCAGGGCAGAGGCAAAGCCTCCTCTAGGCTGGGCCTGTGGAGGCGAGGTGCAGGAGCAGGCAGCGTGATGGGGGTGACAGTGAGCAAGGTGGAGCTAAGAGCTTCAGGAAGTGCTGGGGGAAACTAGGTACTATAGGTGAAGAGCAGGTGAAGATTCCAGGTGACCCCTTGGAGAGCTTCCTGCCAGGTTCACAAGAAAGATCAGTGTAAACAGCAAGGGTACCAGTAAAGCAACCCTGCAGGAGGGGAAGCCTTCTCGACCACAGCTGTGGGCTACTCCCATTTAGGCACCAGTGTGGAAGGAGGCCCTGCGTTGGCATCGCTCTCACCTGTCTTCTCTGTTCCAGGGCTCAGCTCCCATCTTGGTCGTCATGGTGATCCTGCTCAACATTGGTGTCGCCATTTTGTTTATCAACTTTTTCATCTGACGAGATTGTTGTGACCACGGAAGCAATGATGTACAAAAGGAACGTTAAAAGCAAAACAGAAAGGGGAATCTTGACTCAGACAGCCCCATGACTCCTGTCTTTCCACGGAAGAACAACATGACTGGGTATCACTCACAGTATGCCTTTTTTTCTGGGTAATGTTTTTTGGATTTTAGCCAAAATTCTTTGCTTGTATAACACGATGCTGTGTGGCATGGCAGGAGGAGGCCGGCATGCCATCCCTCCAGTGTGGTGTGAAAGGGTTCGGGGATCTTCTTCGTGTTTCCTGCCGGGTGTGGAAGGTGTGAGAGGGGGCGCCTTCACCAGGGTGCCCGTCTAGCCGGGGGAGGGGGAGGGCAGCAAGGTAGCGCAGCTATGGAAAGCCAGTGGCTCTGCCCTCCTCTCTGGAGTAGCTGCTGGGAGTGTGGGCCCGGGCCCAGGGACAGGGACAGGGAGTCCTGGCCTGTCTCCATGGAGTCTGTGCTGCGTTCCTGTGGAGGGAGAGGGAAGCCCCTGCTCTTCTTCCCACAACAAACCATGATCCCTCTTCTCGGCACTGCCCCACGGCCCTCCTAAGGAGGCTGCCTCCCCACACTGAGTCTTACAGCAAAGTCTGTTCCCCTGCTGTCCTCTGCTCACTCATTGTTGGCCCTGTCCAGCCATCCTCCCTCCAGACCCAGGGAGGCCATGCTGCAGACGTCCAGGGCTAACCCCGATCTCGCCAGGCACATCTAAGCCCTGATGCCAAGGGGCTGTGGCCCACATGCCCCGGACAGCCTGACAGCACGCCTGGGCTGAGCATGTGGCGTTTTGCACCTAGTATGCAGGATGTATATTCAGGCTTCCGTGTCCCTGGCAGTGACGCCCCATGGAGGACGTCACCTCTCACTGACCTCCACGGGGTCTCACATCTTTGCACTGTGCCTGCCTCGACTACCCTGACAGATATGCATATTCCCTCCAGATGCCTCAGTGCTACTCCAGAGCGAGTCTGGTCCCGGGACAGGAATGTGGTTGAAGCCAGTGGCTTGAATGTCCTGGAGACTGTTGCATACCCAGCACTCCCGGATGTACAATGTAACTTGTTTCAGTCAAACAACAGGTTCCTCATGTCTCTGCCTTCTCTACCAGGGTTGTTCCCTCATCCAAACAAACGAACAAGGGATGCCAGCTCGACTGGTACCCGCGGCTCCGTCAGTCTTCTTGGGTGCAGCCCGTCTGTCTTATGGACTCTGCCTTGCTTTGCTCGTGTTCAGCTGTTCTCTGCTACCTTTCGAGCAGATTTCTTTACTACAGTGCACTGGATTGCTATATTTTTAACCAGAAATAAACTACAGATTAGAGCATGTTCCAGCGACACTCAGCTTTATTGTTTCCGTTATCCACCCTGTTCCCTAGCCACTGCCTGTCCCTTCTTCCAGGCTGGTGTGGATCAGGGGTCAGGGGTCGAGGTGGGGAAGCTCAGCAGGTGCCCTGATGCATTTCTTGTGTTTCTAAAGGGTTCCATCTTTTTGTACAGCTTACTTTTCCATTCACTTTTTTTAATATCAAGAGGTTGCTGCAGATCTGGCGTGAACCAAATAAAGATTCCTGCTCTTTGCAGCCACGAGAGCAGTCCCTACTGGACTATGTGAATCGTAATTCTGTCTGCTGAGGTGAGGGGCTCAGTGTGCATCCCAGGAGCCGCACGACCCAGAGGGGTGCCGACTCATGAAGGTGGCATGGTCACTCACGTCACCCTGGCAGATGCACAGCCCGCACATGCCTAAGAGGCTCTCCCAGGGCACAGCACTCATCCACGCATCCGCTGTGACTAATGTTACCACAGAAGCAAATCCACAGCCTGGCACTCCTCTGGCAGCCTGCAGCACATGCAGCAAAGTCAATTCTCTAGTCCTGGTGGATTCTAGGCAGAGGTGATGGAGCCCGAGATGCACACTGGGTCCTGGGGGCTCTAGCAAGCTGCCCTGCAGTGAAGGAGACACCTAAGGCTACTGTTCTCCCCTCTGTGCAGAGCCCACCTCCTCCCTGAAGGCAGAGTGGATGCAGCATGCTAAGCAAGAGGATGGTGGCTGGTGGGGACAGAACAGCATGTCGCTCTGGCTCCCAGGGTACACAGCATGTGATGGGTTTTAACTAAGATCCAGCTCAGTCTCAGAAGACAAGCACACTTCCTTCCAGAATGATGAGAAATCCTTCCTGAAGGAGGCAGAAGACACCCAAGGTCCTTGGTGCCTGTAGTAAGGCTATATGGCTGGGGAGCATTGAGTCCTGCACACTGAAGGCTCATGCTGGCACATACAGGGTGCATGGATGTGTCTAGGCATCACAATACCAAGTTCTAGGAGCCTTAATGTCACAGACCAGGCAACAGCACAGAGCCCAGGATAACCAGTCATGATGGTGATGATCAGAAATCCCACACAGCACCCACAATGCAAGAGTCACACACAGGATCTCAGGGAGCACAGAGAGCAGACTGATTTCTATGAGTTTCTGCTTTGAGCCCAACTACTGACAAACACCCAACACCAGGCTCCTCCCCATGCACACCTCTCCCAGGAACCACAGCCATGGCTACCTATGGTCAGGTCGGTACCCGGGGTAAGCAGAGCACAGCCACACATCCCAGTTCCAGTTTCTTCCTGCTCACTGGCCAAACAGGTCCAGTTTAGACAGAACACAGGGCCACCCTCAGAGAGACTGAAGACATTTAAATTACTTGGAGCCCACAGAGTGAGCATCAGAGATGAACATTCAGGGAGTCGAGAGGTTCTGGGGTGACTCTTGGTTGCCCCGCACAGCCCTCTACAGCCCTTGAATAGCTGGGCAGTTCTAGGCAGGAACCCTTCCACCGACATCAGACAGGCCCTGTCGTACATCTGCGCCTGCCCTGCTCCAAGGGTCTCTTAGCTGTTTGTTTTGTCCCCTATAACCGTCCTCAAGACAATGTGGGACGTTCTGCTCTCTTCCAGCTTAAGCTCAGTTTTACTTCCCGCTCTTCTCCTCCCACTGTTGCAGCTTCCGGTTCTGGAAGCTCAGCACAAAGTACCTCCTAGAGTCCAACGTGTCTCCATGCTTTGCGAGCAATGGACAGCCAGAGGCTCTGCATCTTTACTTCACCATAACAGTGAGTTAGCATACAGACAAAGAAGGGATTGTGAGCCCTTAGCAGTGCTGTCTCACTGAGGTCAGCTGGTCCCCTTCCCTATTGACAGTGCCTGCTAGCATGTGGCTTTCTGTCTACCTTGGTGACCCTGACTCAACTTTGGTGAAGGTCTTCCCAGCACCAGAGCTCTCTATGGGTGCCTTCTGAGGCTCTTGAGAATCATGTTCTAAAGGCATACATAGTAGCTTTCATGTTGCAGCCTCCCCTGAACTGTGCAGAAACAGAAACAAGCACAGTCTGTGGGGTACACAGTTCAATTCTGCCCATCAAAGGGCTCTGTTCTCTTCCTCCCACCACAGGCCATTCTGAGTCCACTACTATCTAGGGTGGGTGGGCAGACACTGAGTAGAGGCTGAAGACTCGGGGCACAGGGTGGCACCAGGTGCATACAGCATCACTCCTTCCTCCAACCATGAGACCCAATGGCTGGCAAACGCCTGCCACTGTGCCTGTGCCGACAGCTACCCAGGTTTCCACAAGACACGACTGGATCAGAACACTGGGTCAGACCGCGTGACCAAATGCTGAGTGCTCTGGAGAAACAGGACAGTCCCTTGGGGAGCGCTTTGCTCTATGGTGCCAACCGACCCATGACAGCAGCAGGACTCAGTTCATTGGCACACGGATCTGAGTGACAGACGGCACACTGACCTAATGTTCCTTCATATAAAGGACCAGCTGTCCCTCCCTGGAAACCCATGTCTCTTTCCTACAGCATATCAGAAAGGGGTTCTACCTGCAAGACTGTAACTTTTGACCAGAACTGGTTGCTCTAGCAGGAAGGCTTCTTCTAGCCTTGACATCTTCTTATTTCTGTTTCATTATCTGGATACTGATTTGCTACCTGTGGCAATTCACTCTGAAAACTCAGAATAAACATAACTATGAAACCATTTTTTAAAAAAACCATACTTAGAATAAGGGTTTCCAGCCGAATGTAGTGACACATGCCTTTAATCCCAGCACTAGGGAAACAGAGTCAGGTGAATCTCTGTGAGTCCAGCCTGATCTAACTGGTGAGTTCTGGAACAGCAAGACCTACATAGTGAGAACCTGCATTCAAAACAAAACAAAAAAACAACACAACAACAACAACAAAAAAGGGTTTCCAGCCGGCTTGGTGGTTCCCTTGTTATGATTCAACTCTACCAACCTCAAAAGATCCAGGGCCTTTAAGTGATCCCCAGCCTCAGCTAATGGCATGAATTAGGTGGGCAGCTTGCTCAGCTGCTCCTGGGGATACTATTCCCAAACCCCCAAAACCCACCTGGGGCCACAGACTACTGACAAGAGGAGGCAAAAAGGCACAGGTGCCATGCACTCCAGGTGACCCTGCTCCAGCAGCCAGGCTGGACACACCCTAACTCTGCCCTGGTCACAATAGCCACAGTGATACTGGACATCCCCAAAAGATGGTGGCAGTGGCTGTGGAGCCATGGCCGTGCTAAGGTCTGTGTGCTTGGGTGTGCCTTTCGCACCGCACTGCTGATGGTGGGTTCTGTCTTCTAAAAACTCAGTCTTGCGCCCCATTCACCCTGTGGGCTCTCAGCCCAGGACAGGCAGCAGAGTTCAAAGGAGCTGTTCCTCAGAGCTTTTCTGTTTCTCCAGCTATGGAGTTCAGCCTGGCCAGGCACTCTCTTCCTGCCTCAGCCATGGACTAGGCACTGGTATGTTGGGGTACTAGACCCATGGCAATGGAGCCCTGACTCCATGGCCAGGTGGCAAAGGGCCGATGCCATGAAGGGCTCGGTTCTTGCCCTGCGGCCTCCCTATCATTTCACAGGCCACAGCCCTGTGCCCACAGGAAGGTGTTACTGCTTCCTCCTCAAAGACTGCAGTGGAGGGGCTGGAGAAGGCAACACTCAGAGCTGAAGAGCCCCTGCTGCCTTTGCACAAGACCCAGGTCAGTTCCCAGCACCCGAGTCACATGGCTTACAACCATCTGTAATTCCAGCTCCAGGGATGTGACACCCTCTTCTAGCCTCCATGAGCACCAACATACACATTCACATAAGATGAAAATACATGTCTACACCAGGCGGTGGTGGCACACACCTTTGATCCCAGCACTCAGGAGGCAGAGGCAGGTGAATCTCTGAGCTCAAAGCCAGCTTGGTCTGCAGAGCAAGTTCCAGAGCAGCCAGGGCTACACAGAGAAACCCTGTCTCACCTCCTGCCCCTCCTCAATACACATCTGAAACAAGGGAGAAAAAAACCCTATTAACCTTGCAGTGGAGCCAATGGACATATCCATGCACCCATAATATTCTACTGTGAGACTCAGCACCAAACCAAGGGGCGGAGAAGGCCAATTGGCACAAGAGAGCTAAGCACTCCACAGCAACTCTGGGTGACCGATGACACATACCCATATCCTCGTTCCGTGAAGAAGGAAAACCTTGGAGCACACGGCCCAGTTTTATTAGGATAAGAGCATATATCCTGTGGGTCCCCCAAATGTCCATCTCACTCTAACCTTCCCTCTGCGTGGACAGAAGCTGCAGTCAGGGCAGTGAGTTCCTCTTTAGACTGCAGCCTCTGCGGGCCTCTTCATGCCTGGTTAAGGACACCAGTGATGTTGAAGCCATCGCTCCATCTAATGTTGGACCCGTGCCATGTCTTGACCTGCATCATCAATGAATGCTTTCGCCATAGCATGGGCTACTTTCAGGACTTTCTTCTCCTTTGCATCAGGGCCCATGTGGTTCCGGGCAAGCTTCAGCCAGTACTGTTCAGTCCGGGACAGGTACTCTTCGTACTGCTCCCCAGGCGCCACCTCTGGGTGCTGTGGATCTTTCGATCCCAGAAGGAAGAACGACACGGAGCATGCTCAGTCAGTAAGTTGAGAGGGATTCAGGGCACTGCTGCCCTGAATGGCAAGCTACCCAGACCCACCCTAGACATAAGCAGTGTTAAACAGGCCTCCCATAGAAGCAAAGCGCAGAACAGTCAGGGCTGATGGGGATTCTAACCTGCTCCCTCCTCAGCGCTGTCCTCTGTACTGTCCTCTTCCTGGTCCTCATCGCCCCCCTCTGCACCCTCTTCATCTGAGCTGCTGTCCTCTTCCGAGTCTGTCTCCTCCAGCCACTCCTGAGATTCTGACAAAACAAAGCCAACACATGGTTCTGGCTACAGCCGAAGGGCCACGGGAGCTGGCACCACCTCATAAAACCCCTCCTTCCTCCCAGGAACTGAACAGAAACCCCAACTCTCCTGCCCTGAAGTCTGGGATTAACTGACCAGCACATGCCTCTCAGACCTCAGAGCAACTTGGGAGTGATACTGTGGTGGGCACCAACTCCAGCCATACTGCCATCCTACCTGTGAGTACCTGAGTGGAAGCTGTCTCTTCCTGGATCCCTACAGCCCCAGGGGTTCCCAGAAGATGGTGACAGACCCTGCACTATGGGTAGGGCCTCTCCCTAGACATGCATTGCAGGTTTAGTCTCAGATCTCAAAAAAGTGAAGGACGGAAATGAGGGAAGGGGGCAGGAGGCTGACTGGCAGATGTATTGAGTTCAAGGCCAACCTGGTCATTATAGCAAGTTCCAGGTCAGCGAGGAATACACAGTGACACTGTCCAAAAAATAAATAAATAAAAAATAAAGGATTTGGGGCCAACGGCAGTCTGGATAAAATGGGGATGTCATGATTTCTGAGCAGTGATGGAGAGAGCGACCACCTCAGAGTACCAGCCACCAAAGGCAAGCTCCAGTTCTGCCTGCTCTGCACTGACCTGGGGGAAGATGCGAGGCACATGGAGCAGGTCTGACCCGGGTACCAGTGACTTGTGCTGTGACCCACTTAGCTCCTGCGAGCACTCAGAGCACACAGGTGTATGCCAAGTGAGCCCCCATCCCCCAGGCTCTTTTCAGGGAAACCTGGCCCAGAGTCAAGAGCAGAGGTCCCTACAGGGCAGGGCACAGGCTCTCATTAGAGTCTCATTCCATACAGAGGTCTCACCCAACCCAGCTTACTTGGATCCATCTCTACCAAGGTTTTCCATTCTTCCATCTTGTGAAGGTCAAGGCAGTAGAGGTCACTAAGGGTCACCTGGCGATCACCAGCTTCAAACATGCCACCATAGAAATAGAGCAGTCCATGCTTGACGGCCAGCATGGCATTTGAACGAGGACATGGCTCCTGCCCAGTGCTGCTGGCCTCCAGAGCACTGTCTTCAGCCTTAGGTCGGGGTCGCACTGGCAGCCCAGAGGGAGCAAGCACTTGTTTGATGGTGATCACCGTCCCATCTTCAGCCACCACCTCTTTTATCACTTCCAGTGGCTCGGGAGCACCAGTCCCCCCACTCTCCTCTTCAGCGGCACCTTCATGTTCCTCTACTTTGCCCCGCCTCCGTTTCTTCTTCTCTGACTTGGGGCCCTGTTAACACAACTCAAGCTGCACAGCAGGGCAGTGAGAGCCCTCCCTCTACCACACCAGTCAACATGCCATCTAACATGCTATCCCTGGAAGAGGTGTGGAGCAGCGCAGGCGTGAGCAGACATTCTAGGTAGCCAGGACAGCAGCGAGGAACGGCCTCCTAGCCTTCACTGTAGTGAGGGACAGTCATTCCTGAGTCCCACACTGGCAAGCACCCAGGTGAGACCAGGCCCAGCTAAAATGCAGACAAAGGTGTCGGAGGCTCTTCTTGGGAAATCCGACCCATTCACACTGTCACTCACAGAAGGGATGCAGATCACTCCCCGCCAACAACAGGGCTGGATGACAAGAGAGTCAGCACTCCACTCTGTTCCTCAAGACCGTGCAGGGCCCTCCGTCACCAGCACTAAGGTACCCTCTGGGTTCCCCTGCCGGAGGACATGTACTCTGTCTCCCTGGCCACTCTGCAGAGTACAGCTGAGTGGCTCTGTAGTAGCCACTGTCGTCTGGCAGAACACCATGCTCACAAGATGGCATTTACTGAGCTATATTCAAATATTCTAGCTATGACTACCTCCAGCCAACCTGGACCTGTTCCCTGTTCTAGACACAAGATCCACTCCATCCTGAGGCTGCAGTGGGCATCTCATACAGAACAGCCCCTGAAGGACATCTTGGGGCCCAAGGACCAAGTAATCTGAAAATAAGGCTAACCTACACACTGGGTTCAATGCTCTGAGCAATGTTGGAGACCCTGAGTGGCCATGCCTGGTATAGCTTCTCAGAACAGGGGCCGGCATGTGCAAGGTTTTCTATCATATCGTATCTATGTCTATCATAGACCCTTCCACAAGGCTGAGCCCACAGCAGGTACTAGTGCTCACATACTGTGGGCACTCAGAGCAGTTTCTTTGTGCAGATCCAGGGTGACCTGGGACGATCACTTGCTAGTCTGTCTACTCCAGGTAGGTCCTGGGCAGCAGCTGTTGACAAGGACAACAGAAAGGGGTATAGAAACAGGGCTGAGCTCAAGCAACAACAGACATTAACTGGCACAGAGAACCTGACACGCTCAACATCTCGGTTCTGCCAAGGAGTGGTAGGTGACATCAAGAAGGAACAGGGATCACAAGTCTAGTCACCCAGAACCCACACAGAAGAGTACATGGGCCTTAAAAGGAAGCAACAAGGCTTGAGAGTGGGTAGGAGACAGACAGGTAATATGGAAGACTCTTAGGAGCCTAGGCTACCTTTAGCTGTGCTGCGAACCAGCGACTCCTGGCAGGATCGTAGATATATAAGTCACTAAAGAATGAGCCCTCCAGGCTCTCCTCCTCCTCCTCATCACACACGCCCCCGAAGACCAGTATCTGATGATTTGGAGCCAGGGCCACAGAAAAGCCAGACCTTGGAGTAGGCTTGACCCCTGAAGGGTTAATCCGGGCCCAAGTCCATTTGCCTGTCAAAGAAAACAGAGGAAGGGGTAAGAGGGGACACTAAGAGCCAGGAAGAACACACAGAGAGCCTTGGGCACCTGGAATAAGGATAATTGCGAGCTTTGGATACTATTTAGGCATGGAAACTCACTTTGTCCCCCTTGTAGGAAGAGGGGACGCTAGTCAACCACCCTCAAGGTCCATCCTTCTCAAAGCTCAGCTGTGTGACACGAGACCTTGCCTTTTAAGGGACCCTGGAACCAACGGCCAAAAGGCAGAGGGACAGATGTGGAGGTGCCATCTTGCTAGAGGAGGATCATGGGCTAAAATATACCTCACTGGGGTCCTAAGCCAGCTCATCCAGCCCTGGCCTACAACACCTCCCAGCGGGGACAGCTGCGCTCAGCTTTCCCAATAGGTGTCAAATTCTTCTGACACATGGAAAATGTCTTCCTGTTACTTCTAGAAGAAGAACTGAGATTGTCCCTCACTAAACATTACAAAAGTGCTGGTGACCATGCACTGGAGGTGACTGACGAGGCCCACAGTGTGGGTAGGACTCTGGGCCTGCCCACTAGTGGTCCCCAGTCAACCCATCACAGCAGCAGGTGCTGTGGCGAGGGACTAGAGCCGAAAACACTAAGATGGAGTTAGCAAGGCCCACCATCTCACACTGTGCATCTACAGAGGGAGCGCTGCTCATAACACAGGGCTCCCTTTTCATGAGGCTAATTGCTGGGCCCAAGGGACTGCACCACACTGTCCAGTCTCCAGGTTCAAGCTTCACAGGTCCCCAATCCTAGGTTCCTGCCAGCAGTGGCAAATGACTCACATTTGAGCACGCAGAACTACATATCCTATTAATGTCTGTGTGCTCTTGAGTAAGAAAACACTCTTTAAAATGTCAAGCAAGGACAGGACCACAGCAGCTCCTCCTTCCCATCTCCCCACTCCTCATCTGCCCTCACATATGGCTCCACACGTTGGGGCTGAGCACGCATGTTCAGGGAGCCTGCCCAAAAGTGTCCTCCCCAATCTTACCTCTAAGCATGAAGACTATACCTGAGAATAACACAAATACAACACAGGGTTTTCGAGGGGGACACAGTGGCTGAGTGACCTGGGCTCCTGCTGCCTTCCAGACACACTGAAGGCTGACCCATGTTGCATAAGGCACCATGGTCCAACCACTCCTGAGAAAGGTGGTCTGGTCTTTGGCTCTAGACAGGCAACAGAAAACTCAATGCAGTGCCCATTTTGATAAAAGGGACACACAGTCTTTGCTTCTACCCAGAGGCTAAATGTAACCCACCCGAAGGCCATACATCCAGAACACAATCCTCAAGCACAGCAGTACCTTCTCCTCCTTCCTCAGGCTTCAGCAGGAACATGTCTGAGTGCTGGGTGCCTTTGTCCACGTCTTTCTTGACTCTCTGCAAAACACAAAGTCTTGAGAACCAGCCCACGTAACAGGAGCTGCAGTCCCACGGAGAGCACAGATATGGCAGACCGATTTTAAAGCCACCACCAATGGCCAATGCTGGATCACTGCAGTATGCTCTGCCACAGAATCCCTGTGCATCCACAGGTCTGTACCACGTGGATGGACCCACACACAGCACAGCGCAGCCATACCTCACTCTGGCTCCTACGTGTCATCAGACACAGCTGCACTGGCACTGTAGAGAGAAGCAAGCCAACACCATTGACAGACCTCTTAGAGCCTTCAAACCCACCGATCCCGGGTCCTTAGCCTTCAGCTTCAAACAGTGATGCTGACTAGCTGTCAGCCCTGAGGCCACCACCCACACATCTCCTACTCAGCACCCCAAGGCCCAGACAGCTGCTTGCCAAGATCATCACCCTGAGGGACGCCAGTCCACTTAAATGTCTTCCTGTACTTTTGTGCTTTAATTCTCAGTTTCAATGCACTTGATCTTGTGGTCTTTATGTCTATAGAAAAACTGAAGACTGCACAGAACCACTGTCCTGGCAGCTGCAGCTGCTCACCCTACCCAGGTACATGCAGAAGCTACACTGATGAGAGGGACCAACCAGGCCACACAGTCCTCCTTTTCCCTACTGTTGCTTCTCTCCTCCAGGGTGCCATTCAGGTCCTCCATGTCCCGCAGGCTGGCTAAGCTCTGCCCTAGGGAACCACTAGTTCCCCTTTCCATCTGTTCTGCCCAGAAAGATGTGGCAGGAATGGGAGGTGGGAGGTAAGTGGACACACGAGGCACTGTCCTTAGAGATCAAGTGCTGGTCTCAGGTTGTTTTTGTGTCAAGTTGTAATGGAAACAGCAAGTCTGACCCTCTGGCCTCTGGCTCCCTAAGCTCCCCCTCCCACATATGCTCCACCACTGTGATACCATCTGCCATGAGCCATCCATGTCCAATCCTAGATTTTCAGGGTCCAAACTCATTTTATTGCCAAGTGTGCCCTCACAGTCTGGGAGGCTGAAATAAATAACCTCACTTCTTTTTAAGCCCTCAGCCTGTAGTATCTTATTTCCCTCTCAGAAACAGGGCCACTGTGTGTACAGTCAGGACAGCCAGAGCTACACAGAGCTTTTGAATACAGAGTTTTGAATGCAGAATTTTTTGTTACACAGATTTTGAAAAAACAAAAACAAAACGAAACAAATCAATGAAAGGAGTTAGAACTCAGGTACCCTGTATGTGTGCATAGTTACTGCCCCAAAAGACAGAGGTTTTGAAATGAAAATCTGAAGCCAGGTATATACATACACCTTACTATGAGTTACTGATCATGTAGGCCCCAGAAACAGTCGAAGCAACACAAGCTATTGCCATTGCTCTCAGCTGCCCACCAGACCGGATGGTGAAACTCTTCTCCTGACACCACTACATGCTTTGCTTGGAGGACAATCAGGACAGAATGGACCTGAAAACTTCCTCTCTGGTTGGCTAGCTTTCACAGTGTCTGATGATGCAATGCAAGTCACTAAGGGAGAAAATTCATCAATGGTATTACTAAGAGGGGAACCTGAATACTGGCTGACCTTCCAGACAAGATGTGTCCATTGATGAAATAGTGGCATTAGGTTATGGGAACAGTAACCACTGATTGGAGCTGAGGCTGTGCCACAGGAGGCAATTCATGCCTGGTACTGTAAACTCAGTCAAAGGCCCCTGGTTCAGGAGGTCACAGAACCTCTAGGCAGAAACCTACTACTGTTCTGCTAAATGGACACATTGCCTCTCTGTCTTCTAAATAGCTATGCTTCTACCCACAGATCAGTCCTGCCCTCTACCGTGCATCTCTCCGCAGTGGGTAACAGTAAACACAGGAGACTCACAGCTAGTCACTGAGCTGAGAATAAGTGGCTGTTGAGTGCTTGGCCCTAAATAGGATACTGAGAGCAACCCCACCTCCCAAGGCTCAGGAACATCACTGAAGAGGGGACAGAGAGAATGTAAGAACTGGGGGAGGGGAGGAGTACTGTGAAAAGTCTTCACAACGTTACACTCGTGAAACTCAGAGCAGCTGTGGTCACTTGCACAGGTCCTGCATAAGATCAAGCCAACAAGGTTTATCACTATTCCAGCAGGCTGTGCTAATTGGACTCAGTGGGTTACAAAATGCAAAAAAGAAAGAGCATTAAGGTGGGAAGGGGCATGCTGGGAGATGTCTGGGATGGGGAATTTTAAGAGCTGGGTTTGTTCTAGATGTTGTGTAAATGGATGGAATTGTCAAAACAATAAATAAAAATATATTTATTTATTTATTTATTTATTTATTTATTTATTATGCAGCCTTCCTTTCATGTACACCAGCACAACAGAAAAGGGCGCTAGATCTCATTATAGATGGCTGTGAGCCACCATGTGGTACTGGGAATTGAACACAGGACCTCTGGAAGAGCAGTCAGTGCTCTTAACAACTGAGCCATCTCTTCAGCCCAATAAAAGATATTCTTAAAAAAGAAAGAAAGCAAAGAACTGAAAGTTGTAGACTACAGAGCTAGTAGGGCAGAAAGGACTACGTGGGGGCCCGACAGGAACAATGGCCTGCCACAGCAGGTTGTATTCACTGCATTACAAATAAACCACGTGACAGTCAACACTGACCTCTACCTGACTCCCCACACTCACATATATGAAAGGGCATGCACACAAACTAACGTTCAGGCATGACTCTGTACTTTTCTATGAACTACACAAAAGATAACGGAAGAGTGAGAGACACAGCTGCATGAACACACGTGATCAAACAAGTGTGCTGGAACAGGAAAGGCGGAGTCCCTGCAGCATGCAGGTGGTCACTGAAAAGATTCACGTTAACTATGTGAGAATGTTTTAAAGAAAAAAGATATGAGATAATCTTTGTCTTGTTTTTTTTTTTTAAAACCCTGATTTACAGCAATGTCAGGAATGGCAAAGTACCAGTACAGAGCAGGGCAAGTGGACGGCCAGCACTTGCAGATACACGCACTCCAAAAGCAGCAAGAGACTCCTGAGCACTGGCTTGGGAACACAGCTACAACACTGGCTGCAGACACTGGGAGAGGACACTATGCAGTCCTTATATCGGCTACAGTGTAAACACAGATTGTTCACCTGGCAGTGCTCCTGGGAGGTAGGCATGGCATGAACTTGCATCCCCAACAAACACATAAAAGCTGGGCTTAGCAGCCAGCGTCTATAATCCTAATCCCGGGAGACAGCAGAGGCACAGCCAACTGACCAGCTCCACGTTCAGTGTGAGGCCTGTCTTAAAACAACCAGGTGGAGAGCAGCTGCACAGCTCAGAGCAAGGCTGCTCCCATCTCAATGGAAGCCATCTCAATTCTAAGCACAGGGGCCCTTACCTGCTTTGAGTAGCCCCCATAGATGGCAATGCTGCCCTGGGGGGTGACAGCCATCAGGCAGCCTGATCTGGGTGTGGGCCCAGGGCCTGAAGGGGACAGCTTACTCCACTGGAAAGTATCCAGGCTGAAGGCATACACGTCACTGTAGTAGATATAGTCCCTAGTGGGAAAAAAGGGCACAGATCACCAGAGAGATGACAGGGGAAGGCAGGGTCATCAGTGCACCAATTATACTGAAGGCAAACTTGTGTTTCACCTAGACATCTGCTTCAAGTCTAAATCCAAATGAAAGGCTGAAGATCCTGAATTTACAGACGAATCAGAAACAACTCCAGTCGCAATCACAGTATAGCTTACTAAGAAAGTTATCCATTTCCTGCCCCAGTGACAACAGCTACCTTCATCAGGCAAATTTGGCTACTCAGTGTGACAATGAGTCTAACTAATCACAAGGCAGGAGACTGACCATTTGGTAAGAACTGAGGCAGGGATAGGCAGGGACAGAGCAATGCACACAGGCCAAAGGCAGGAACAGACCATTCGCACCTACCACCAGACAGGAATGGGAGGCTCCACCTAATGCTTACTCTGCTCAGAGCCAGGGACTCAGACACCAGAGCACTCAGTACATAGGGCTCTTGGAAACAAAACGGGGAGGCTGGCTATTCTGGGGTGTCTGTCACTGAACAGACACTGGCCTCAGCTGTGAAGAGGAGCTCAACTATCCACAGAGGAAAGGCAGGGGAAGTTGGGACAACCATTGCTCCACACAGTGTATCTGAATAATCCAAGCCTGGGGCTCTACAGCCACTGTGAGCCCTGAAGGCTGTAGTGGGAGAGCTGGCATAAGGCTGTCTGCTTCTAGAGAAATGCCAAGAAGCCATGGGAACTGCTGGTTGCCCCTCAAACCCACAAAGTCCTCTCCAAGGGCACATGAAGGAGAGGAGGCTCCAGGTTTCTAGAATTACTATACTCCAGTTTTCTCCAATTTCAAACTCCACTTTCAGTTAAAATAAAAAAAAGTCAGCTCTTATTGAAGATAAATAACAACTGTCTCAAGGAAAATTCAGAATGGTGATATTTAAAAGTCAAGCTAATTTAATACAGATGGTGACTCCATTCACTGTAGGACTGTCATTTTGTCTGTGTGCCTAAGTGTTTCCTAAATAGGTTTGTACTCAAAAAAACGCTTATTTCCACTTATGTGCATTTATGTGTACATGTCTGCATGGGCGCGCAGGGACTGGGGAGGGCATTCGACATCCTGGAGGTGAAGCTACAAATAACTGTGAGCTACTAGACATGAGTGCTGGGAGCTGAACTCTGGAGGAGCAGCAAGTGCTCTTACCTGGCGAGCCAGCTCTCCAGTCCCCTAAAGAATCTTTAATGCCGGGCGATGGTGGCACACGCCTTTAATCCCAGCACTGGGGAGGCAGAGGCAGGCGGATCTCTGTGAGTTGAGACCAGCCTGGTCTACAGAGCTAGTGCCAGGACAGGCTCCAAAGCCACAGAGAAACCCTGTCTCAAAAAAACCAAAAAAAAAAAAAAAAAATCTTTAAAAACCACTGTAAATGGTGATATGCAATCTACACATGTGTAAGAGGGAAGGGTTACGCTGGTTCACACACAACCACGCACACAGTAGGTGCCGACTTAATGTAAGGACAAGCCCATGTTTTCCTCAATATTTCATGTGGCTGTCACACACTGTCGCTGCCAAGCCGTGTGCCCAGGAAGTTAGTGAGCAGTGTTCCTACGCTGATCAGATTGTTTGGCCCATGCAACCTATACCTGTGCTCCAGAAGAGGCCCAATCTGCTGAGTACCAACCTTGTGCTTTCATGGAAGCCACCAAAAAGAATTAACTGTCGCTTCCAGGCCACCATCCGATGTCCACTACGACCTGAAGGACCACCTGTTGATCTAAAATGACGAGGAGAAAAAAAAAACAAAACAAAACATTGTTAGATATTCCTTATCTAGGGTTGGAGTTTTTTTGCTGTTGCCGTTTTCATTTTTTGAGACAGGGTTTCTCTGTGCAAAGCTGTTCCAGAACACGTTCTGTAGACCAGGCTGGCCTTGAACGCACAGAGATCCATCTGCCTCTGCATCCCAAGTGCTGGGATTAAAGGCTTGTACCACCACCACCTGGCTGATTTCTTTTTTTTTTTTAATATTTGCATTTTTGTGTGCGTGGGTGTTTAGTTCATACATATGTTTGTGTACTATGTGGTTTCCTGGTGCACTCAAGAAGCCAGAAGAGGACATCAGATCCCCTGGGACTGGAGTTACAGCGAATGTGAGCTGCCATTTGGTGCTGGGAACTGAATCCTGGTGCTCGGGAAGAGCAGCCAGCACTCTTGACTACTGAGCTATCTTCAGCTCTTGATTTTCATTTTCAATACACTTAGTAAGTTCCCTTCATTATCTCTTCAATTACTAGACTCGACCTAACAGTCCTGCCTGATGCTATAGGGCTTCAGGAGGGATAGAGGGTAGATCAGTGGTAGAATACTTCCTCAGGAGTGTGTGAAATCTCTGAGTTCAACTCCCAGACAGTAAAGACTTCCAGAAATAGCAGAATCTCTGACTTGGAATAAATGCTTTTCAGGCAAAAAATAATAGGTTGGGTTCACTTAAATAAAGAATTCAAAATACTATTAAATACATATATGGGGAAAGCCATGTATGCTGGGCAGTGGTGGTACACACCTTTAATTCCAGCACTTGGGAGGCAAAGCGCCTGTGGCTCTTTTTGAGTTCAAGGCCAGCCTGGTCTACAGAGCAAGTTTTAGGGCAGTTAAGGTTACATAGTGGTAGCACAGGCCTTTTATCACAGCACTTTGGGAAGCAGAGACAGGTGGATCTCAGCAAGTACGATGCCCGCCTGGTCTACAAACTGAGTTCCAGGACTGTTACACAGAGAAACCCCATCTTGAAAACAAACAAAAACAAAACAACACACACACACACAGAAAGTTAGACGTGGTTGCCCACATCTTTAATCCCAGTACTGCGGAGACTAAATCGGGCAGATTTCAGTGAATTAGACCAACCTGGGATACACAGAGAGATACTCTGTTAACAACAACAGCAATAATTTTTAAAGGAGGGGGTCAGAGCACTGGTTAAGATGCTAGCTGCATTTCAGAAAATCCTGGTTAAATTCCTATCACCTACACAGTGGTTCACAACTAACCTTTTCTAATTCCAGATACAGACATCCTCTTCAAACATTTATATGCATACAATCAAAACATTTACATACATAAATCCTACAAAACAAACAAAAGAGCCAGCATACAATGGGTTAGGTATGGTGGTACACATCTTTAATCCCAGGCATTTGGGAGACAGAGGCAGGTGTGTCTCTGTGAATTCAAGGTTAACCTGGTCTGCATAGTGGATTTCAGTACAGCCAGGACAAAATAATTATCTTGGCCGGGCAATGGTGGCGCACGCCTTTAATCCCAGCACTCGGGAGGCAGAGGCAGGCGGATCTCTGTGAGACCAGCCTGGTCTACAAGAGCTAGTTCCAGGACAGGCTCCAAAACCACAGAGAAACCCTGTCTCGAAAAACCAAAAAAAACAAACAAACAAA